TGATGGTTGTGCAGGTGACTGGCTGCCCACTGGAGGAGGGGAGGTGAGGCTCTATGGTGCTACAGCCCTCTTTTAGGGGTGGAGAACTGAAAGGTGCTTCTCTGCCTGGAGTCCCAAGCCCTGTCATGCCTAAGGCCAACAAGCTTTTTAGAAAATGTAAATGAAGACAGTCCCATGCTTCCCAGAGTTGTCAAATGGAATGACCTTCTCTATAAAATTAAAGCTGGGCTCATCTTGGAAAGATTACAGCTCCCCTTCTCATTCCCTTCCCCCCACCTAATTTTATTTCTTGGTTGGCTTATGTGGGAGCATGAATTTCTGGTTGTGTTGCAGCCATTTTGCAGGCCACTTCTTGGTGTGCAAAAGTACAATTCGTGGACCAAAGTCGCTACTTGCCCTGCTCTGTAACAGGTCTCCAGAGGCCATTTTACTGAGACATCCTCTTCTTGCTAATTTAGGAGCTGCAAAAAGAAGAGGCTGTCTCCAGTCAAGGTGGCTTCACAGAAATCTGAAGGTAAAGGCATGAGTACTATTTGGGCACACCTGAGTTGCTAACACAGGCTACTCAATCACACTTTTACCCCAGTTATACACTCAGTAGCTGAATTGAAAATGCCAAAAACTGTTACTGCCCCTTTGCTAATTTTAGTATCCCACTGTCTGGAATAAATCAGTTTCATCATGCCTACATTTGTGCAATTAGACCTGTGACTGAAATGCAAATAATCCGGGCCCTGCAGTTCCTTACAAGTGTTGAAGTGCAAACTTTCCTTTTTTGCCCTCAAGCCTGCTTTAACAGAGAAAAGCAAGAATGTAATGTCGAGTAAACTTAATTATTTTTTTAAGATAGCATTCCTTATGAATTCCCGTGTTTGCACTGAAAACAAAGCACAATCTGACAACAAAAGTTCATAAATTAGGGACTATGTGTCTCTCATATGCATATCCTGAGACAAAACTGTTGTACTGGAATTGTCTTAGCCATTCAGATGTTCCCACAGAATTTACTGTGAAGATAAACATGAAATTGATGAAACAGTTGTACAAACAATCTGCTGTGCTTCCTGTCCTACCTTCGCAAAAAAATCTTGCCCTTTAATTCATATGTATTGACTTTTCTCTACTCCTTATTTTCCCTAATCTGAAACATACTTGAATAACAGAAGATAAGCAAATGGACCCAGAAAGGTGTTTATTCTCCAAATTTAGGCATGATTACTCAATAATCTAAAAATGAAAAATATTTATCAACATAGCAGAGCAGAAAGCAAAGTGCAAAGTTGGTTAAACTTGAAAAACTCCTTATGATACCATAGAATTCATTCAAAGTCCGTATTATTTATAGGAATCAGAGCTTTGTGACTGTTGCTATCTTAACTGGAAAAAAAATATTTACATGCTTTATTCTTTGCTATGTAGGCATCAAACTCAGGGTTCTGAATTGCCCTCCCTTCCCTTTGTCTTCTTGCATATTCTCTTGATGGCATTGGAACATAATTTTCTAACTTTGGTTCCTGCACAGCTCTTGAGAGGTTCCCTATAGTAAACTGTAGAAAAATCCCCTATAAGCATTATGTACTGTTATTCTGTATCCTAGAAGTAGGAAAGTAGGAAAAAAAAAAGGGTGTAGAAGGATTTTCTTCTTCTTTCAAAAGCAGAACAGAGTAATCAAGCGACCGCTGGAAAAAATAGCTAATGAGACTTCTTGTATAATACATATTTGAGAAAGTTCCTGGAAAATGCTCACTGATAGCAGCTAAAAATTACAGGAAGCTATCATCGGTCAGATTCCTTTGTCACCATGTGTATCTTTTCCCTTGCTGTGGCAGCCAGGATAGATCTGGCCGTATAACTGTGACCTTGCTGCAATGTCTTTCAAAAAAAGCTTGTGTTAATTGTGAAAATGAAATCGTAGAGCTGCTGTATTAAAGGGAGAGAATAATCTAAGACAGTGCTTCTCAAGCACCCTATTAATGATTTATTTATTTCTTTATTTATATTAGTGTACCTTGCCTTGGTAGCTTTTCTTTTGTAGACATGAAACCTCTGGAGATTTATATCTGGGAAGGACTATATCACAGCATCTGGTGCTGAGCTATGAATTATAATTTGGTTGATTAAAAATGGCCAGGTACAATGTGAAAAAAATCTAAAGTGATAGCATTGAAACCAACAACCTTTTGTAAGTATAGCCTTAAAATCACCTGCATGAGAATTGATAGGGCCCAGTCTCCGGCAAGAGGCTTGAAATGGGCAGCTGGGGGACAACACGTTCCACCATTACGGCTGAGAACATCCACAACACTGGTGTAGGCACAGCCAGGGCTTCTTTCAGAGAGCTGCTGTTAGTTGTAAGAGATCAGCATCAATACACATCGGTACCTCGGTATCAACAGGCATCTATAGCTTTCTTTCTCAGACCAATTTTGCTTTCCATAGGCACAGACAAATATCAACATTGACTGTTGTCAATACTGAGAAGCCTCAACGAGTATTGATTTCCAGATGTATTGCTAGGGCACTGCATCCATAGATGTCAATTCCTAACAACAGGCATTGATACCTCTGAATCTTGAGAATCATTGATTCCTATCCATTTCCATATCTGTCGACAGGGA